TCTCCAGATTCCTATTTCCACCTGCATCCTGAAACCCATCTTCTCTACCACCAGCGTCCAAGTCCAGCATCACTGGCCTGCTGACCCACCGTGTGGCCCCTCCACCCATCCCATTTTGGTTGATTTTTGGTTGTTTTTCATTCCTTCTGCTCAGACTCACTCAGGCATCTGGTAGATACCTTTTGGGGAGCAAGAAGTTGTGGGCTTCAGTTTCCTCTATATCGATCTTCTCCTGTTTATTTGCTGTATTTTCAGTCATATTTATTGCAGAAAAATCCCTGTTAGGACTTGCGCTGTCGTTGGGTTACCGGTTTGAACCCCTGCTCCGTCTGTCTCCGTTGTTGTGTGCTTGGACAAGACATTACGCTCGCTTTCTGGCAGATGATTTCCAACTTTCTCTAAAAGATGTAGGTCAGGGTGTGGAGATGAGGTCGGTGTGTGTCTGGTGCGCCATTTCTATCTAGACTACTCCATGTTTTGGATAATTATCTCGTTGAAATCAAAGACCTGATTTTGATTTGCTTGAAGCTTGCAGGAGTTCATAAAGCCATGCATTCTGACAAGGTACCCAGGGCACTAAAATGTGTGTGTGTGTGTGTGTGTGTGTATATTTTAAATTAGCCCATGGCAACACACATTCTCCACTGTTTAGGTCCCTGCGTTTCAGCACTAAACCCACCAGGAGTGATTCTTGCTGAAACAAAGTTCCCAGTTGAACTCCCAGCAGAGTTTTGCAAACTTATGTCTGTGCCGAAAAAGACTTGACTCCTCTCATTTGCCCCAAACTAGCAGTTGGCCCTCAGAGCGGCTCTAGTCGATGTTTTGGACATTTGAAGCCCCAGAGATGCCTCTCTAGCAGTGAGCACTGGAGAGGCTTTCACTGCCTTACCGTCCTGCTCATTGGGTGACATGATAAACTACCTACTCAAGCCTGCTGTAAAGTGCCAAAAAAAAAAAAAAAAAAAAAAAAAAAAACACGGCCTACACATCAGGTTGTATTTGTGTGGATTTACAGATTTCCTGTAAAATTATGCAATTGAGATTAAAAAGAAAAACTCAAGTCTTTTAAGGGTTTAGTGGCAATGGCACCAAATTAATTTGCACCTTTGGATTTTTTTTTTCCATCCAATAATTTTGTATACATTTTTTTGTTAAGTCATAACCACGCACGCCAAATCCCAGGTGTTGATTTAACTAAGCTGCAGTCTGCAGGGGGCCCTGGTGCTGACCGCTCAGCCCAGCCTCGCTGTGTCATTCTTACCTGTCACAAGCGCTTTGTGTGACATGTAAATTGTAGCACCAGATGATCTATGGCTGCGCTCCCTGTGACCTATGGTGATAATACGTCTGGTTGCAGGAGGGAGGGGATGCGGGCTGCATGAGCCGCTCCGGGATATTGACCGCGCTTTGTTTGGAGATGCGTCTTCATTTGAAGCCGTCCGGGACCCTCATATTCCCAAACTCCCAACCGAGCCGCGTCTCCGCTTTGTATCGGCCCGATGACCTTTTTTTTTTTTTTTTTTTTTTTTTTTTTTCTTGTCTTGCCTCCCAGTCCGGCTTGATTAGCGCATCTGGCGGGACAATGAGTGGCCGCCCTGTACGCAGCCATTACCCGGATCCCTTTATCAATGTCCTGTAATTAAAATGTCACCGTTTAATTTTCGAGCCATCGCTTTCCTCTCGGCGGAGTCTTTCCTCCAATAATAAAAAAAAGAAGTGCAATCGAAATGCTCTTTTAACTGGAAAACAAAAAAGAGAGACGGAGAAAGCGTTTAAGAGAGCCGAGCAGAGGGGGATCGATAGGCCCTTTGGTCCAGGAGGAGGATTGATTGGTCTCTAAAATGGGATTTATAGGGGTCATGGTTTTATGGGGTGCTGATACAACTGTTAATTAGAAAACATTTGGCGACAATTGCTGCCGTTATTAAACCTGTCCCGGTTGAGCTGGGCTCCATTGATCTTTTTACATCATAAGGCGAGACGATGACAACAAAATGCGGAAGAAATGAGCATGCTTATTATTATTATTATTTATTTATTTATTTTAAAGTGCATGCATTCATTTAGTTCTCATGGATGCGAAAAAAAGTTTCGTAGTGGCGGTGAAGTTAGGGGTCTAAACCGACAGGGGCGCTACCAAGGAGGAGCAAGGGAGGCCAGCGGCCCCTGCTGCAGATTAGGTAGTCAAACAGTCTTGTTTTGTGTATATATATATATATATATATATATATATATATATATATATATATATATATATATATATATATATATATATATATATATATATATATATATATATATATATATATATATATATATATATATATATATCTTATAGTGAATATCAGACAGGAGAGGAAGAACTTTTTTTTAAAACAAACTGAAAGTTTTTTTTTTTAATTCATTTTAACTTCTGTCCTTTTTGTTTTATTTTATGCACCTATTTTTTTTATTAAATTTTTTTTTACTATCCGCTTTCAAAGTCCCGCTCTGACTTTGGGTCCTCCGGCAGCCTCAACATCCTCTGGAGATGGCCTTATTCTCAGAGGCTGAGTATTATTAATAACATAAAATGCATATTTTCTTATTTGTCATGTCCATGGACAGTTTTCTGCGCAGCGTCAAAAGCAAAAGACCATCTAACATTTTATTTTATTTTTTTATATCATCAGAAATGAGAGGTATGGTCTTTCTTAACACAAAAGGTCGAATGACTAAATAAAGAAAATGAAAGGGGGGGGGAGCAGCAGAAGAGCATGAGCATGCTTATTATTATTATTATTAGCGTGCTCATGCTTAAATTTTTTATTTTTTATGGTTTTATTTATCAGCTCCATCTCCTCTATTTGAGCGTCGTGCTGAAGCTCACCTGCTGAGTTGGGGACGGACACCTGAAGGCGCGCTACTCCTGCGGGCTAAAAGCTTTTCTGTCGAGCGCATATCAATGAGGCCGGGGTAATTTGTATCCAACGGGAATAATGAAGGGCGCTCGCGTAAAATTACCGCTGAAATGTCTCTAATTAAAAACTCCTCGCTGCTGATCTGCGGCCGCGTCAGCTCACGTTTCTCCCGGAATAAGCGGCGACAAAAGGCTGCATTCAGCTCGGCGGCCTAAATAATTAAAAGGAGAGGAATAATTACAGTATAAAATTGTAATTATTAGGGGAGGGGGGGAAGGGGGGGCATTTCTCCATGGCGAAAGAGGAGAGGATGCGCCTATAGGATCAGGTTCTGCATCAATATTGCAGGGAGGTAAGAGAGATAGAGATAGAGAGAGATAGAGAGAGAGAGAGAGAGAGAGAGAGAGAGAGAGAGAGAGAGAGAGAGAGAGAGAGAGAGAGAGCTGCACGCAGGCTGATGAGCGACAACATGAAGGCGTTCTTGTGTTTTGTTTTTTTTTTTTTGTTTTTGTTTTTTTATCAAACCGTCCAAAAAAAAAAAAAAAAAAAAAAAAAACACGCGTTTTGCATCTGGTAACAAATTCGCTGCGTGATCAGGGCCGGTCAGAGCCTTTCAGGGTCTGCTGTGCCCTCTGGTCCCCCTCTTCCCCCCAGAACCCGCTAACTCCCATGCAAAACGTGCTACAACGAGCCACTTAATGCAAGTGACAATTCATTGTTCTGTCACAGACTTGGCTGCATGATGGAGCCATCAGAAGAACTTTTTTTGGCCGAGCGACTTGCCTCGCTGTTTCACGTTGCGTAAATGGCAAACCGAGTAGCAGCTGTAAATATTTGTCTGAGGGTTGATTTTTATTATTATTCTTTGCTCGACTTCTTTTGGTGGAAGTTCAGAGTTTCCTGGGCTGCGTTGAGATGCAGGTCATTACTCCCTGATAGCAGATACGCCTCTTTGGCAACTTATGTTTTGTAGCAACCGGCCATAAGTCAGCTCGTAGCCGTCAGAGGAACCTTTTGATAACATATGATTGAAAATACTTTTAGGCGTCATGCAGTAAATGCAGTAGTTTGACCCTCGAAAGACAGTCTGTTTGAAAAGAACAGGAATGAATGAAAACTGGGCACAATATCTGGAGTTCAATTGTACAACGCTGATAAAAAATGAAAATGGGGAAAGGGAAAACCGACCCACATCTGGAGCACTTCATCCAGATGTTCTGCATCGCTGTTAAAAATATATGTTTATTAAAAAAAAAAAAAAACATCTTGGCTTAAAACTGACCATTTGAACAAAGTAACTCAAAAAATGAACTTATGTGCCATGTTGTCTAATTAGCTCAACAGTGTCTTACAATAAATCATAGGCCAATAAACATATGAGTCTGATATATTTAAAACGTTCGTTATATTATTGGGTCATTTGATCAAGGAAAATTAATTCATTTTTCACTGGAAAGGAATGCTACAAAGTGCTGTAATGTGTGTTTTTTTTCATTTCTTTATCTGTTATTCTAATTCTGTTTTTGCAGCATGCAAGTTTGTTTTTTTTTTTTTTTGTATTTATTATTTATTTATTATTGGGGGTCTCACCCCGTATGATCAACCCTTTGAAAGGCTTTCTAGGGACACCCCTGCATTTAATATCAATAGTTTTGACAATATTTACTTCACTATGGTGCTTCATTCAGGTGTCATTGCAAAAAGTCAGAACTCAACCTGCTTAAATTTCCACGCATCTGTCTTTCATTAGCGTCCTCCTTCCTTTCAGCCTCTTTCTTCTTCTTTTTTTTTTTTTTTTTGTTATTTATTTTTTTATTACGTCCCTAAAGCTGCAGAAGGTGTTTTTTGTGCGTGGCGAGCGTGGAAACCTGACAGATGGCCGAGTAACTTGATAAATAATCCGGGGCCCTTTCCGGTGCTCTGTCCGCCCTCCGCAGCGCCACGCGTGCTGCAGCTCGCTTTGACTCCGGGAGCAAATTACGCAAGACGCGCAGTCGCAACCGAGCTGATCCTTAATGCAAATGTAACGCCGTGATCGGTTTGACCCCGGCGGGGCCTCCAGAGGGTCTTCACTAACTAGAGTTTAAAGGGGCCGCCTCACACGCCGCCCACTTGACTGCATCCCCGGCGAATGCTGCACGTTTCTGATAAATCGTCTTATAATTCGCTTTTGTGAGTCGATTCGGAATTAGCAGGAGCTCGCGATAATCTCGAGGCCACATTTCTCCCAACACGGGGGTCAGCGGGGGCTTAATTGTGGAACTATCTCTCTTATCATCTCCGTGAGTCAAAAACAATTGCGAATTATCCAAAGCGTTGTGCAGCTCGGCGTGTGTTTGCGTGTGCGTTAGAGGAGGGGAGGCAGAGAGGGAGAGCCATTACACATCAGCATGACAGCAGGGAGAGCAGGAGGAGGAAGAGGAGGAGGAGAGAGGTGCCATGTGCTTCCTGTCTACCCGCCATTCACCTCCCTGAGCTCCAACAGGATGGAGGTCCTGTGCGCCGCTGCTGCTTCTTCTTCTTCTTCTTCTTCTTCTTCTTCTTCTTCTCGCATTTCAGCCAACTGACATAGAGTTCACACTCTGCGGTGTTTTGTCCCCTGTTTTCAATCGTCGTTTCCATCCGGGACGCATTGATCCTGAAATTTCATCTCCTTGTCGTTTTTATTTTATTGTTTTATTTTTCCACTCTGATCGTCGCTGGAGTGTCTTTTCTGGAGAGAAAGGTACGTGGTATTCTATTATTATTATTATTATTATTATTATTATTATTATTATTATTATTAAAACTTCAATTAACTAAAAAATACCTATATCAATGTCTACATATGTTTTGTTGCCATTTCCAGCACGAATCGAGTTCGGAGCACGCGCGTCCCGTATCAAACTGTATCACTCGGCCGTTAAACTTTAATGAAAACCCCGCGTGCCAGATCTCCGCGGCCTCCATTACGCAGTCCGTGGGCGCAGGTGAACGCGCTCGCGCGTTTGCGCGCGCGCGCGCGAGAGAGGGCCCTACTCCAACCTAATTCCCGGCTACTGTCTGAGGCTAATCTGCGCTGAAGCTTTAATTATATATAGGGCTGGTCTTTTATTAACAATGCGGGGACGCACGCTTGGATCCGTGTAATTACCTGAAAAGCAGCTTACAGTTGCTCTTTTCCTCTCCGCTAAGCGCATTGGCGCAGCTCAGGCGGCGCTCTCCTTCTGTCCCTTTCCGTGTGTAAGGATCTTATGTGACTCTTAAGTAGCTGCTCCGTAAGTGCTGAGCCGATTTGAAGATAAGGGGAGCAGAAGAGGTCCTCCTTCCACGCAGGAGGTCACCCAAAAAAAAAAACAACAACCAAAAAACCAAAAACAAACAAGAAATCCGGTAGAGGAGGCCGGACGCGCAAAAGAAGAAGAGCTCAGACTGATTTCACTTTTGCAGTTATAAAAACCTTCATAAACTATTATTATTTCCATATTTGTTTATTTATTATTATAACTACAAGTAATAATACAAATTATTAATGGCATTATTAGTGTTTTTATTTGCATATTGATTACTTATTTAGATTTAAATTAGCACCAAAAAATTGTTTTGGTTAAATAGTTGATATAATTACATTATTTGCTTTTTTGACTATATGCCTATAATAAATGGTTGTACACCCCCCAGACCCCCTCCAAGCTATTTCAGCACTTTGTTTTTGACCGTCAGGCTTCCAGGGATGGAGTCGATGCCCGGACATCTTGGAGACGCGGGACGAGACGCCAGCTCTTCCCCGAGTTTGAAGCAGGACGCGCAGAGCTTCTCCGGCCCAAACTCCCTCAAACCGAACCAAGTGAGTGAAACCTCCCTGTACGGGGTGCCCATCGTCTCTCTAGTCATAGATGGGAAAGAGAGACTCTGCCTGGCCCAGATTTCCAACACGCTGCTGAAGAACTACAGCTACAACGAGATCCACAACCGCCGCGTGGCTCTGGGCATCACCTGCGTGCAGTGCACGCCCGTCCAGCTGGAGCTGCTGCGGCGCGCCGGGGCCATGCCTATCTCGTCCAGGCGCTGCGGCATGATCACCAAACGGGAGGCCGAGCGGCTCTGCAAGTCGTTCCTGGGGGCGCACAGCCCCCCGAAGCTGCCGGAGAATTTCGCCTTCGACGTGTCGCACGAGTGCGCGTGGGGCTGCAGGGGCAGCTTCATCCCCGCCAGGTACAACAGCTCCAGGGCGAAGTGCATCAAATGCAGCTTTTGCAACATGTATTTCTCCCCGAATAAGTTCATCTTTCACTCCCACCGCACTCCGGAGTCCAAGTACCTGCAGCCGGACGCGGCGAACTTCAATTCGTGGAGACGGCACCTGAAACTGACGGACAAGAAGCCGTCTGAGGATATAAACCACGCGTGGGAGGACGTTAAGGCCATGTTCAACGGGGGGAGCAGGAAAAGGACTCTGCCCATGAGCGGGTCGGGGATGTCCTCGTCGCTGAAATCGCAGGCCTCGTCCAGCTTGGCTCCAACTAGCTCCCCTGAGGTCCCTCACAAAACTTTACGGTGCGACGAGGAGCAGGGAAGCAATAACTTAAGCTTGGCGGGCGGCGCGAGGAGCTACCCGGTCATCCCGGTGCCCAGCAAGAGCTTTGGCATGCTCCAGAAGATCCCCCCACCTCTGTTCCCTCCCCACCCGTATGGCTTCCCCAGCTACGCGCTGTGTCAGAAAAAGAGCGACGGAGTGACTGAGGGTAGCAAGCCCAGTGTTCCCGGGGTGTTTTGGCCCGGCGCAAAGGACTCCCTCTACCCCGCTTTCCCCATGTTCTGGCCCGCAGCCGGTGGCCTGCCCATGCCGCCCTATCCGGGCTCCCCGCCCAAGCCTCCGGCAGAGCGGCCGGGCGTCCGGCAAGCCGAGTTGGACCTGTCTGACCAGAGCGAAAGGGGCGCGAACACACCCAAAGACACAACCCCGCACCCCCACCACGAGCGCAGTCCCAGCTCTCAGTCCTCCTCCGCCAGGAACGACGAGGACAAGTCCGGGGACGAGGCCTCCCAGAGGAAGATCAGCTACATCTCGGCCTTCAGGCCCGTGGTCAAGGACGCGGAGACCATCGCCAAACTCTACGGCAACCGGGACGGGTTCGGCGCGCGCCCGGGCTACCTGTCCCCGGATTTCATCAGCGAGAGCTCCAGCTACAGGTCGGCCTCTCCGGACAGGGACAGCGTGGTGGACGAGGAAGACGACGACCCGGACGTGGACGTGGAGTCCAACCGGGGTCCCGAGGAAGAGGAGTCGGGCCTGATCTCCCCCGGTGGGGACCTGCGCGGTTCCCCCGCGCTCGAGCGGGTCTGTTCTGTTGCGGAGGAGAGCCAGGAGCGGCCCGACGGCTCCTCCAGCCCCGGGGCAGCTGGGGCATCACCGCGGGGCTCGTCGGATGAGAACCGGCAGATGCGCAACGGCTCCCCGCTTCATGAGGTGAGATTAGATGAGATGAAGCTTTAATGATCCCCGGAGGGAAAGTTAGACTGAAGCAGCAGGGGTAAATATGAGAGAAATGGTGACCAGCACGGACTTAATCAAAGGCAATTGGCCTTTGTACTTTATACAACAGAGAGAAAATTAGTAGCTCTTGAGCAAGGCAGCAGGACTTTTATAATTTTTTATTATTATTTAAATATAGGCTATACATAAAAAAACTACTACAACGGTTATTATTATTATTATTATTATTATTATTATTATTATTATTATTATTATTATTATTATTATTATTATTATTATTATTTCAACGGACCTGGTCAGTTACTAGTCATAATTTTAAATAAAAGCCTTTAATTATTACTATTATTAATTATTATTATTATCATTATTATTGTTGTTGTTAAAAAAAATTAAATAAAACAGAGCTTCTTTTTTTTTTTTTTTTTTTTTTTTTGAATGGCTGCAATTAATGGCGTGTAATTGCCCTCTGTCTTGCAGGTGTACCCACATGAAAAGGACGGCCCGGCGCTCCTCCTGAGCGAACCTCCCGCCTTCGGCTCCAAGCAGTCGAGCAGACCCAGCGGTGAGATTATCGATCCGATTCATTCCCGGCTGTTCGCCTTTTAACGCCAAAGACAACCGTCCTCCCGTTTCTCTGTCCAGGCGTCCATCACATGACCGAAATGCAAACGCAGCGCGGTGCGGCGTCCTATCCGGAGCAGACGGACAGACAAGGTTTTAAAGCATCCTCTCGTGTATTTCCCGATGAATATGATTGTTTAGCCTACAACTGAAAGCTTGAAAATCATCAGATGATTTTTTTAAAAAATATAAAAACATTGTTTTAAATTCATATGATTTATTTTACTGTTTTTATTTTTGTTTTGTTTATTCTTTTACAGGTGATGGAGCTTTACGCATCGACATCAGCGTCCACGAGAGAGATCTGGAGAACATGGCCAAAGGTAGGAAGCGCTTTAAGCCTCAAAACCTTAAAGTTAACACATCATCCGCAACAATTCACGACGTGGCAGCGATTTGGACGGGGAGGAGGGGAGGGGGGGGAGGAGGAGGTGCAGATCTTATTTCCTTGTTTTTATTTTTGATCGTTCACGTTTACGAAGCGAAACTGGGGCCCCTGGGCGATTTAAAGAAACCCAACGCGCGCCTGAATAAAACCAACCCTCGGATTTCCACCTGATTCGAAAAGGAAGCCGCTAAAGGCGCGAGAACACACACACACACACACACACACACACACACACACACACACACACACACACACACACACACACACACACACACACACACACGCACGCACAAACGCGCGCGTCCAAGTCTCCCGAACGCGAATTTGCATTTTATAGGCCTACAGTGTTTCCATAGTTGTTAACCACTTAATCACGAGATGTAGGAGTTTTGACTTATTATTGTAAGGGGGAAATCGTTTAGAGGCTATTAATATTTTAACGAACAGAGCCGTAACCCCGAGGCGCGGCAGCTAATTATTTTACAACGCTTGGAAAAACCCTGGGACTCCGTTATTATCGTCTCCACCTCCAGGCAATGCATGGCAATTACTGCGGCAGCCTGAGAGAGAGAGAGAGAGAGAGAGGGAGGGAGAGAGGGAGGGAGAGAGAGAGAGAGAGAGAGAGAGAGAGAGAGAGAGAGAATGGTTGTTATCAAGGATAGAAATACACCTGAAGTCGTTTTACTGCAGGAGCTGCAACAGATCCTTATGAGTAGCAAAAAAAAAAAAAAAAGAAAAAAGGATGTGAATTTGATGAGGTGTGTTTTTTTAAATATATATATTTTTTACTTGTATTAGTTTGTGGAGATGCGATGGGATCGTCCGTCTTGACGCTAACGTCTCTTTCCAGAAGAGTTGCAGAAGCAGCTGGTGGAGCAAGTGGAGCTGAGGAAGAAGCTGGAGAGAGAATTTCAGCATCTGAAAGGTATGAGAGGCAAAAAGTGAGTGCGCTCGGCGAGCGAGGAGCCGTCAGAGAGACGAGAAGCAAAAGGCGAGACGCAGAGCGAGTCTGTCCACACGATGAGGGTCCCTTGTTCTCCTCAGATAATTTCCAGGACCAAATGAAGCGTGAGCTGTCCTACAGGGAGGAGATGGTCCAGCAGCTGCAGATTGTTCGAGGTGGGTCTCTTTCTGCTGCCCTGGCAAGCAGACTCAGATCGGTCCTCCTTTAAGTTGAAGCAACACGACTCCTTGTCCGTTGAATCCAGCTAGCTTCTCACGCTCATAAAAAGGAAAAAATGACACTCGCGTGTTTGAAATATCAACACACGAAGTTGAGTTGTGTTGGGTTGCCCCCTCCCCACGCCGCAAAGCTCCACGTTCATTTCTGATTTGGTGCCATGGCCGAGGTGAAAACTGAAACCACATTGTTTTGCTTGCAAATGTCATTTTCTCCTAAATCATGTTCTGGAAAATTGAATAGACAGACCATTATGTAGCTCTGTATCGGTTACATGCAGCAGACATCAACTAATGCCACCCGTTAAAGGATTGGTTTAACGTTACAGTCGTTTAAATACAAGGTTCAAGTACACAGAGGGGTCACTCTAAATACCACAGGGGCAAACGGCACACATTACACTCCTCCACATAATGCTCACCATTTGATTTTAGTCTTATTTTTTTCTCCCTTTCCTCAGTAATCCTCGTCGACCAGGATTTTTTTATTTTATTTTACTTCTTTAATCGACGGTTTGTGCAACGAGCCTTTTTAGCAGAAGCTGAACGGTAAATTTGATCTGGTCCACAGGGAGAAAACAATACTCACATTTTCACCCACAAGCTCAGAAAATATATGCAAGAGCTACTTTTGTTGTTGTTGTTGTTATTATTATTATTTTTCAGTCAGCCTCTCCTTTCGTCAGTGGTCAGTATTTACTGTAAGGAAGAGTTAAAGTGCAGGCCCTCATTTTTCTAGCCTGCCTCCAGTGGAAAGCACCATTGGCCATTCCTTCGTTTCATAACGGCTGGAAGGTATTTTTATTGTGAGTGACGAAGACAAAGAAAAAAAACGACTCAAACAAAGATGATCTGACTTAATAAAATCAAATTGTCTGTCGTTTAGAGCGATTGTTTTATTTATTTGTTCATTTTGCCGAAAATTGTGTTTCTGAGATGAGACCTGAGCTCAGCTAATCGGGTTGTCGTTAATTTTCCTTCAAAATGTGTTTCTGCATGGGGAAAACATGCAAAAAAAAAACAAAAAAAAAAACGACAGTGCAATTTATAAACCAAATTAAACAAAATGTGACAATTTTGAATGTAAGTGTCATTAAATGAGCCTACAGAACAACCAATTATGACAAATTTCTCTTATTTCTCTTATTTAACTTTTTGGTTTTTTTTGTCAAAAATACTTCTTTTTCTCTCTTTTTTCTATTTTCATCAGAGAGGCTTGTTGGTGCTCAGCAGGACAGAAAATCTCCCAAACCACTTCTATTTGGACCCGCAGTTAAACTGGATGAAATAAACAAACCTGCTGCTTTTCTCTAGCAGAAGCTGAAACCACAAATATCTCCCCGAACGTCGATGTTCGCAGTTACGCCATCGGGAAAACTCAATAGCAGGGGGTGGGAAAGCCAGTTCCGCAAGAGTCCGCTTTCTTAACGTCGCGTGTGGCCAGATTGTTTTGTAGATTTTCTTCAAAATGCAAATAAGGTTTTCAAATTTCCGATGACATTCTCGTGGCGGTCGAATCATGGTTTCAAACTTCAAAGCTGCACTAAAAAACAAACAAACAAACAAACAAACACCCACATGATTGTGAAACGGTGTTAAAATGAAAGATGAAGGGGAGAAATGTCGCGTTGATCATTATCACAACAACTATGACAACATCTACAGAATCCAGTTTATGAATTGTGAAGCTTCAGGCTATTGGATGTTTCTCTATCCCTGAGTTGTTTGGTATTTAAATACAGTTATTTTCACTAGACGCCAAGACTATTAGACACACATGCATATAGACAAATGATGGTGCTGGTAAAAGTTTGTCTAAGAAGAACAAGAAACTGGGCGACTAAAGAAAGAGAAAATAATCTGAAAGCTCAAGTTTGAAAGAATAACTGGTTCATGGTTAAACCTTCTGTATTTGCAGGGTTCAGGCGGTTTGCTTTACTAAACAGTATCGGTAATGGAAGAAACCAGGTATGAAAAAGTATGGCCGATGAGTTTATGAAAACCAGAATATGTGACAAAAATCAATGAACGACACTTTGACGTTATTTGGAGCCTAACGATTAGTCAAAGTTGCCGGTCGACATCGTTTCTGAAAGACGTGCGAAAAAAAAACTCTTTGAGCTGCTAGAACATTAAAACTCTTATGTCCACAGACAGGAAAACACAACAAATCTCAGTAAAATAAAATAAAATAAAATAAAATAATCAAAGGCCCCTCCCATCAGGAGCAAGTTGGTTGAAAAGTGTTAATCATCGTGTCCTTTTGCATATCTTTGCTACACTTTCCTTATTTCTCCACCTGCTGCCATCATTTACCTGAAAGTGTGGCACTTCATCCTTGACCAAGAGAGGCAGAACAGCTAAAGCATAATAAAAAACAGCTTTTTGACTGATTTCTCTTATTCCCTGGAGGAAAATCGTCTAGCAGCTGCAGAAGACTCTAAACTGTGGCAGAGATTCGCCTCCAGCAGGTCACAGAACACACAGCCAGAGCTCCAGTGCAGCGGCTAAGATCAAAATGCATTCCCGCGTCAGGGCGGTCCAGTTGAAGTTCAAACGTAAATTAAATTGTTCCTTTAAAACGGCAACAAGGAGCAGCGTGACGCAGATGTGAGGAAACTCACCAACTTCCTGCAGCTTTCAGCTTTTCTTCTGAGCTGCGGAGCAGAACAGATGAAGGGCAGCAGCTGGAGATGCTGTCAGTCCACCACTCAGACATGTGATATTAACAAAATCAAATGTCATATTTCTGTTTAGGACAGCTTCTATTTGTTAAGTGTTTAAGGCCAGGAATCAAATCCAGACACCGGTTTAGGCTTATTTGTCCTGATATACATATATAAAGATTAGGCTTCCACTCTGTGCACAGATATTTTCTGGAGGTTTTGTGACGTTTTGTCGAATGAGATCAAAGTGCTTAAATTTAAGATTTAATGAAAAAGTTAAACACAAATTTTATGTTTCATCCTTCATGTTTTTTTTGTTTTTTACTTTCAAATGCTCAAGAGATAAACTGAACATGGTTTGTTTTAACAGAAGAAACAAAGTGGACATTTTTTAATGTATTTATTTTCATAACTTCTGAAATTTCCCGCTCGTTTGTCAACAGAAACAGGTTGCGCGTTTGCTCTTTCTTCAAACGCGCCTGCTGCTGCAGCGCCGCGCTTCGGACAGGCCTCATGAAACGTGTGGGAATCAAAACAGAACCGGTCACTAACCGAACTCTTGTTGTTGTTCTCGCCTTCATGTCGTCACCGATGGGCCCCCTTCGCCCCCAGAAGCTCACGACGCCCTTCACCATTTCTCCTGCAAGATGCTCACTCCCCGTCAGTGCACCGGCGCCTGCACCTTCAAGCCGCCCCTGCTGCCCCCTTAGTGCCGCCGCACCCCAGCAGCCCGAGGAGACACACTCACGCCCCACACACACTCAAAGGTCCGGCCTCGAGAGCCTTCATGTGTCCACCTCTCCCACCTGTGACCCCGGGACTGCTCCTCCTCCTCCTGCTGCTGCTGCTGCTGCTGCTGTGTGGATACATCTCTGAGAGAATCCGTCAAGGCTCCGGAGGAGACGGACTGGGCCGCGGCCTCTCCTCCAAAGAACCGGACTCTTGTGTCAAAGAGGAAATGTGAGCTTCACGCTGCGAACCGGAGGACTGCTGATCCGAGGCTGCAAAGCTCAAACCAAGGAACGAATGGAAACTGTCTGCTCTTTCACTACTCTGAAGAGAAAATACATTATATACATACAAATATATATATATATACACACATATATATATATATACATATATATACACGTCATGTGACAATGTGCAATGCTTGTATTTATTACGACATTAAGTTAAAAGCTCATTTGTTAGATTTTGTTGCACCTTTGAATATGTTTTTACATGTATTTGTAATTGATCTTGGGTTTGTACTCTGTGTTTGTCATGAAGCACTTTAACCGGACGACATTTCCAAACACCAAAACTCCCTCCTCCAGCTCGTCTCTGCGCGTCACAAACGCAGCACTTCAGGCTCTCGCTTCAGGCCGTAAAGAAACGTTCTGCAGCAAGCTAAAAGGAAGCAGAAGAGAAGCAAAACACGCGGATGCATCTGTTTAAGAACGCTTCTCACTGTCGCTTTCTGTTGAATTCGTCTGTCTCAGCAAGCTGAACCGAGACCTTCTTTCCTTTTTTGTCCTTTTCACCTGAAGCGCTTTTTATACGAACACCGATCCAAGTGTGTAAACTACAAACTGCTTCTTTTTTTGTTTGTTTTTTTTTTTTTGTCGTTCGCTGAACTCGTTCAAAAGAAGAATGGACTCTTGCTTTCTGACACAAACACACCGTTCTCCTCTTTATCCCTGTACAAATTCAAATAAAACCTGAAAAGCTGTCTGGGCTTCATGTCCCTGACTTTTACTGGTTTTGTTTTGTTTTTCCCTGAGTACCCTGGTGGGAGCCTGACACCTGCTGGCTTCTTTCCAGAACAGATCCCCTCTCCTCCCTCCCTCTGCCCCCTCTGCCCCCCGGGGGGTGGATCGGGTTGCCTCCCATGGCTGTTTGAGCTCAACATGATCTCTTTCATTAGGCGTCCGACATCAGCGCATGACATGTCCAGTCATCTTCCACTGCTTGACGTGGAGTCGGGGAGGTTAGGGGAGGCAGGTTGATCCACTGGTGAAATCTAATTCTTCAGACGGGACGACTAATAGATATTGATTACCCTGCGCGCCTCATGCTGAGACAGATACTCGCATAATGCCACCAGTGCAGGTGGAATGCTAATCGCCCCCTGTGGCAGAGCTTGTAACCCTCTGAGTGCCTGACGAGGTCCAGGAGATGAACAGCATCGAGACATTGGTGGGGATGACTGGGGCTGGTATGTGGAGACAAACACTGATGGATTACTTGCCCTGTTGAGTTTTATCTCGGTTAATCGACCGGCTGTCCCTGGGATTATTTGGAGGATTTGCGATTCTCTCTGTGCTCGTTTTGTGATGTTTTGGGGGTTTTTTGGCACGTGTCACTCGCCTGTGATTGTTTTGAGATCGACTCTCTTTCTGTTTGCTGTTCTTTTTTATACATATTTGCAGGTTGATTTGTGTTTGTTGATTTATTTTTAATTTATTTCCTTTTTTTTTGAGATATTGATTTGTGTCTTTTTTTCAACCTTTTTTAAAGAAATTATTTAACTTTTTTTTTTTTTGCTTGGTTGTTTTGTGACCTTTCTGTGACCTTTCTGTGACCAGTCAGCGACGTCTGGCCTGTGAACAGCAGGCCCTTCTTCAGGCACAAGGCGCTTTACAAGCAGACAAAATACGGTCGTCATTTTAATGTCGTTGTTTTGTGATTTTCCTTTTTTCTTTTTTTATTTGTGTCATTGTGGTTGTTCGAGAATAGTTCTGTGTATGTTTTTGTGTTATTGTTTAATGTTTGTTCATTTATTTTGTATGCTCGGGTTTTCCAGACTCTAATTTCAGTTTAAAAAAAAAAAAGTCTGATAAAATAGTTTTTTATTTTTGCATTTTTTATAGCCTTCTTGCATCATTCTTTAATTTCCTTGTGTTCATATTGTGGATGTACACAAACAGAGCCAGGACAAGGTACATGCAAGCTAAGCTGCTTCAGCTAAAGGTCCATTTCACATAAATTATTGCTAAAACCTCCAATATATTCAAAACAAAACTTGAGATAATATCTTTTAATTTACAGAAATTGTAGCTTTTTATTTGCTTGAGGCTCAAGTAGTTTGCTGAGGAAGAATTTCATTGATATTTATGTTAACATATGTGATCTACTGTTGCTGGTTGACTCATTTCTGCTGCTCGTGTCTTCAAAACCAATCGATAAATAAACGACAGATGGAAGCTCTTCTCTGACTGCTGAGTCTGCTGTACTCCACACACATCTGTCACACCAAGCAAGTAAGTCATACTTTGCCTCCACAGTTTAATTATGCCTATTTATTTCAGAAATAATGTGCGCTGGAATTTGGGGCTCACAAGCCTCAAGCGGCTCTGGTTTCGGATGTGAGCAGGTTTCCTTTCTGTGTCTGCATATTGCTCATGGTAAAAAAAATAAAAAATACAAAGTGTACGCATGCTTGTTAGTCCTTTCAGTGTCAATTTCTCCTTCTTATATCTCTGTCTTTCTGTTGGATCAGATCTCTTTTACTTTTTAAGCTTCTGTTTCAGGAGGTTTGTGTTGCTGGTGTCCCTGGAGTCTCTGCTGTCTGCGGTGAAGAGGAACAAAACTCTCCTCGTTAAGATGTTGTACAAAACTATTCTCTCTCCCAAAGACGAAAAGGTAAACCGGATTATTTACATTTTCCAGCAACTTCTGTTACGAATATTGCAAGTAAAATCATCAGCACCGCAGTTCCCTTTTGCTAAAGGACTAGTAAAATGTCCTGTCATTTTAAAGAGTCCACTGCATGGGCCCACAGCATCACAGATCCTCCACCATATTTTGAGATTGTCCAGGTAACGTCCAAACGCAGTTTGGGAAACTCCACAAGTTTTTCCTGAACATCACTCCCAAACAGCTGGTGAGCATAAAAACAGCATCCAATGGTTATTTTAAAGACTTGGGAACTCTGAGGTGCCTCCGTTTGCTGCAACGTCAAGCTTTGAGGTTTTAATACCCGAGTTCTGCTGTCTCTTTCTGGCTGCAAGATAAACTAAGTTTCTCTCCCAACAGTTCCAGCTGTGATGGTTAACGTGTCATGTTTTATTCTGTTCCAGCAGCTATTCTGATTTGAGTCATTTTCTAAAGATGAACACTGATCCATCTTAAGGTCTCGTTGTGTTCGTGTGTGTGTGTGTGTGTGTATGTGTGTGTGTGTGTGTGTGTGAGCTGCTTGGACCTTGTGCAAAAGCAAACGCTTTTATTCGTACGACATTCAGCCGATCAACCATGTTCCACTCAGAGATGTACAATTTACACTTTGACTTGTTCTGGGGTGACACAATGTGACGGTTTCTACATTGTGAAAGACGGAGAAGAAAATCACAGAAACAAATAAATGATCCACTTTGACGTGTCTTTTTTATTATTATTTATTTGAACTTCTTCACCTCATATTTTCTTCACCAGGGTCTCTAAGCCATCGTTTTCTTGATGTAGTGTGTGTTTGGTGCCACCGTCCGGCTGGAGGCAAAACTACCAATTCAGCACAGCCACAAAAAAACTGAACTGCACCAGAATCTCACAGTGACCCCGGTGAGCCGCACATGACTCTGTCTTTACAGTCAAACAAAGAGTAGAGTGGACTGCAAGGAATAAATCAGCTCTGGACTGGCATGCTCTCCAGTCTTACCAACAATTTAAAGGTGAAAACAAAACTTTACATGTTAATGTGGGAATTTTTGCCTGAACTGAATAAATATTTTAGTTGAGTTTTTTTTTTGTGTGTGTGTCTTTTTCTAAAAGTCGCAGTGTGAGATTTTGTTCAGCGATGAAAGATGAAAACATTTTCTAGGGTTTTTTGTTTTTTATTTTTACCAGAACTACCAATAAATATGGATGGCATCATGCAAACCACCCCATTATCAATTTTGTTTCCCTCTACTTTATTGCTGCGCAGTTTAATCAGAAGGACGGATTCAGAGTTGCCTGCATTGCATTCAATGTCTTGATTACACGATGTAGTTTTGGACGTTTTTGTCACGTGCCGGTGCACCGACAGAGTCCATTTGTTTGATGTCAGGCCTACATGCTTCACTTTAAGTGCATCGATGGATCCCATTCACAGTCATATCAAGCATTTTGTAAGAAGAATAACTCTTTATTTTTGCTTCTGGATCTTGCTCTCACACTATTTGCTCCCTGGGATGTGGATTGATTATTTGCTCGACAGTCATTTGTGGTCAGTGGACACCTGTCCCCTCGCCGGGCATCAACAATGCAACAGATGGCAACGACACATGATGACATAATGAGGCCTCTTCAAGCGACAGAACTGGTTTGTCAATAAGTCTTTGTGCATTTGGGTTTTTTTTTTCATAATGGATTTGTGCACAAAGCCAAAATGTGTTTAGTGTTATAAAGTTCGGTGCAGTGTGGCAGAACAAACCTATTACAGTAAGCAGGGATGTGAATGTTTGGTAATTGTGCAGGATAAACTCTGGAGGATTCACGTCATGCTGGATTTGTTCTCTTTTGAAATCACTTGGCGCCCCCTACTGGCCTCCAAAAACAAAGTAAGGAATAGTTTGGGGGTTTTTTTCTCCATAAAGGTACCATAATAGGAAGATTCCTAGTTTGAGTTTGAGCCAAATTGAAAAACTGTGAAAGAAACAAATGAAGGCTTAAAATATTTTTAAATACTTTTCATATTCACTCCTAACAAAGATGCTCTTTGTGGCATCAACAAAACATGCAGCATTAGAGTGATAACATTTTTTTGAAATTGTAAAATCATCAAAAAGACCCCAAATATTTGTCAGCTCTGATCTGCAAAGAACTGAACTGATCCACTGTTTACAGAGGCAGAGAAAACATCATGCGACGGCCAAGGTCTGAAGCAGTATGTAAACATGTGTGGCCTTCAGCTTGTTGAGCCACAGCATGAAGGAGAGTCAGAACCTGGCTGTCAGAGAACAAAATGTGCTGAAGGCCGTTTGATGGAGGCCGACGTTTCGAATTGAGGAGAAAGTACCAGGTTTGCATTTAAGTTTTGGTTGTGTAAAGTTACAAAAATGACAACCCAAGGGTTGCAATTGCAAAAATAGTTTTGCAATTTTAACTTTCGGTAGAAACTTTCTGGCGACGGGAAATTTCTGAAAAGAGTCAAACGCTTCCAACATGTTGGGATCAGTGTTAAGTTTGATGGGACGTTTTTATCATTTTTTTTAGTCAAAGACTTTTGACTGGGATGCAATTTAATTTGTTTTGCATTTTAGTCAGTCAACTAAGTTTACTTAAATAACTAGAAACAAGAATTGAATTTTTATGCCCCCTTATAATGTGACACCACAACACCTAGAGGAAATATTTAGTCATTGCAAGCAACTAGTCCCATCTTTTCAGACAACTAAAATTAATCTTCATACAATATTGTGGTCTTGTTTTTTATTTGTTGTCAAAAACCTCAATATTTCATTATAGTTGTTCTCTTTCTACATGGCTTTTGCCTAGTTTTAGTTTGTGACTAATTGTTGATGAAATATTTTCATTATAGTTTCAGTCAACTGAATTAGCACGAGTTGGATCAGTTTTTTGGACATTATTTAATGGTTAAAGCAACTCAGTACTTAATTTATATTTTCACCTTGTCGCCATTATATCTCATTATGTCTTTCGAATGAAAGAAAGATAAATCGCTTTTCAGATTACCACAAATCTAGATAATAGGACAAATGTTGGGTTCTGTGCCTTTTAACCATTTTACTTTTTTTCTACAGGGTTTTGAAGACAAAACTATTGAAAACAGTTCAGAAGGTTTAATTTTTGTCATGTCAAAATTCCTACAACTCGACTCTTCTCCTTTTTAACTTTTAAAATTTTCTCTTTGTCAACTTCTGGGACAAAATCTGACTATTCTTGACTTACAGTTTTTGTTCAGGGCGTTTGGTGGATTTTTCAGCTCACTTAGCATTTATGTAACAGCTTTTGCATTTAAAAAAAAAACTAAAAACAAACAAACGGAAACAAAAACCCTACAAACTACAAAGCCTGGCTGATAACTGGCAAAATGCTCAAAGTGGATTCTTCATTCATCAAAAGCAAGAATCATGTCATCAGAGTGAAAAGTCCTTGTGTGTTTATGAACAATATATTCAAATAGCTTTGTCATGATTTCACTGTAACTGTTTGCCCTGTTTGTTTGTTTATTTGTTTTTTGTGTGTGTGAAAACAGTCTGGTCTTGGTGACACTAACTAAAAATACTCAACAGGACAGCACTTTGCAGCCATTTGAACACTAACAAATACAGTAAGTTGCAGTTAGTTGTATTTTGTGAGTTAAATGAGTACCAGACACTGAATGTGCATTTGCATTTTTACTGCCCGTTGCTGTACCTGTTTGCTCACAACATTACGCAAAAGAATGCACAAATTTGTTTTCAACGAACATTAGAAACAGCCTGTGGGTAAAGCTGTGCACGTCTGTAAACATGGTCAGTGAGAGCTGAGAGACACTGTTCAGTTTGGGAGACATTTTTGAGACATAAGTGCAGAGAACATTACAAAACAACAGAGCGTTGCATATGCGCAATCGACATATGGACAAAATAATTGGCAATTTTCTGGAAGAAATGGCAAAAGGCATCGATGATACGCAAGGGTCTAAATGTTGTGGATGTTGAACCAAAGGTAGGACAAGTGTTATTTCCTGGAGTTGTTCAGCTCTGCTTTTTGACCTGTGCTGAGCGAACTGACCACAGGTAATTAAAAAGGGCGTGTTGTTGGAAAAGGGGTCAAAGTGCAGAGAGAGAGGATGCAAAATGTCAAAGTTCTGCTGTTTGATTTACTTTGTTATTCTTGGTTCAGTGCACGGCGCTCCATCATGCTGGCAGATGCACCGAGTTGCTCTCAGAGGACTTTGATCAAAGTCCTCTGAGAGGACTTTTTTTTAAATTATTTTCTTGGCAGTGATCTTGTGAAGCACTGGGACCAAGGCCATGAGATGATCAGAACTCCACGCCACGCCGGCCACATATCAAATCTCACTTTTTATTTTTCTTCTCAGGACAAATCATCTCCCACATGACCCTGAAAATCCAAAGTAGTTTCCCGTTGTGCGTCTTTGTGCTTTCTGCAAAATTTCAGTCCGTCATTGTTGTTCCTCTTGGACAAAGGTGGTAGAGCTAGTTTGGTTTCATGCAAAGAGATGAAACCAAAAAGCTACAGGAAGACAAAGATTTACAGACACATCTTAGGTCAAAAACATTGATTCACAACTTGCATTTATTTGACCATATAACATTGCAGTTTTATTAGCTCATAAACAAATATTTATTTATAAATATAAATAAGTATAATAATTAATAATAAATAATTAGTTGTAATCGTTGCTTGTCATCATGTTGAAGTTTCTGTTTAAGTAACTTACACAACTAAAGGTGACACAGACATAGCTTTACCAATAAAACCACTGTACTGAAACTAAACAAGCCAGTAACTTTGCATAGATGAAACATATATTAATGTAAAATAATAATGTCTTTTTTTTTTGCCGTTGTTCAAAAGTGGACGGACGGAGGGATGGATAGTTGTTTTTCCCATCTTCGGGTGTGCTCCTGAACGCATCGCTGTCGCTCTGTGCGCGCTCACGAATCCCCTCTGCGCGTCCCAGTCATGTGACAACACCTCAGCACGCCTGCGCACAGAAATAGAAGATGGCGGAGAGTGCGGACCTGAAGGTAAGGCGCAGCCTGAAATTATCACGAATGTAAGCCGGTCCTGCAGCGCTTCATTGCGGCTCCGTGCAGTTCCGGAGGGGACTGAGTGTCGGGAGGGCTCGGAGCCGGTCGGGCTGAGCGTTTCCCACCGAAATGCGGCAGAAACTTTTTTTTTTCCCCCCCTCAAATCCGCCAGCAGCTCCTGCGAACATGTTTATGTTGATGTTGAGAGGCGCTGGTTCTGGCTGAGACGGACGCCAGCTCCTTCCCGGGCGCCTGTCACTCCTCCCGGGTCCAACCGGGTCTGCAGGGGTGGAAACTGTAGGGTTTTTTTTAGGCGAGTTTGTCCTGCGTGCCGCGGCGGCAGCCTCCAGACTGCGAGGCGGGTTGAACGCGAGAGCAGCTTCTTCACACCTGTGAATCCTCAGTTCAGACCCGCTCGTTGCTTCCACGACCCGGAGATTGTTGTCGATATGCAGCTTCGATTGAGAGCAGAGGCCCAGGCTGCCCGCAGGTGGATGCAGCTCACCTGGCCTGGACCAGTAAACCTCAGGTTTAGTTTACCTGTTGATGAGCCAACACACCTGTGTGTGTGTGTGTGTGTGTGTGTGTGTGTGTGTGTGTGTGTGTGTGTGTGTGTGTAACGGTGCGCAGGCTGCTCACTCCCGTTATCCCGGGGTCGGTAATGCATGAGGCTCCGGGATGATTTGATTAATCGATTGTCTGATTTTTAGAGGTTTTCTTATGCCGGTTTCTTGGATCTGTCCAGCCCGTTCAAGCACTGTACCGACTGGGTTCGGTACGGTGTTTATTGGTTTGCACCGATTCGATTTGGCCGGGCCGATATTTGTATCGAGCTGGTTTGCAACGAAGGTTGTCTTATGTTAGTTGGAATTAAGCTCCAGTAAAGTGTTAATTATGCACTGTTTGATTTCATCCTCAAATGGATGAATAAAATTCATTTTGTCATTGAAAGAAGTGGAAA